TACTCTTTCTTGAAGGTCTATATTTGTGACAAGTATGTGTTTACTTTATTTTTAATTTGATTTTTTTTTTTTTTTTTAAGAATGGGATAGCTCAACGTGTAAATACTCTTCGGTTGAAATTTGAGTCCGACTCTTCCAGGATATTACTTCAACGGATTAGGCTAAAATCCTATTTAACGAGTGTGTTCTATTATAAACTTATAATCAAAATTTAATAATTAGTTTAATAGATAAACTTTTAAAATATTCAAAACAGTTTTGAGCAAATATGTGGAAGTGTATGAGATCCACCTAATTATTGAAAATTTCTAAATAAGTCTAAGTCAAAATAAGCCTAAACAATTAGGCACAGCTTGAATTAGTTGATTTCTAGCTTTTTATTGGTTAGGAAAAATATCGTATATCGTATAAAACGTAATATTTCAAACAAAAGTCTATTTTGAAAAATTGAAAAGGATTTATCGAGCTAAAATAAATATTTATTATGTGCTATGATTACTGAAAGGCACATGCAGATAATGCCATTAAGATATAATGAAATTAAATTAGTACATAATAAGTATTGATTTTTATTTGCAAGAATAATTTTCTTGACTATGAAATCTTGTATTACTATCGGATGTTAGCATGCATTTTTAATTTGTACTCGTTTGTGATGGTTTGGTAATAACATTAAAATGCAAAAAGTGCCGAATTTTTCTGATGCATATTTACAATGTTAATTGGTGCGGACGGAATTATGTCACAAGCATGGCATGACGGCTGCGTGATGGGATTACCCAGCTCATACCGTTGGGTATCTCATACAGTTTAGTTAAAATTCTGTTTCTAGTTACAAAATCTCCATACAAGTAATATCTTCCCATCTTCATTTTTCTGTCGCTAAGTAAGGAAGTAATGTAATCGGTTCTGAGTCTGAAAAACGCATTTTAAACCTGTTAGATTATATGCGTGTCTATGACACGTTGCATATTTTTTTTTTCCTATGTAAGGTTTCAGCCACTATGTATGTGAATCAAATCAGATCCTTCTTGCGCGATAGAGTCTTGTTCTACTTCTCATACAATCTTTTACTTAAATTACTTACTTAATTTCTTTCAATGTTTATACATGTAATGCATTCTTGAGAAAATTCTGGGAAAAATTTTCAGCCGTACACGCCCCACTAAAGCTCCTAAACGTACCGTTATAACACATTTTTAGTTAAGTATAAACTTTTTTTCACTATTTAAAAAATGTATTCTCAATGTTATATATACGTTGTGTATCACTTGGATTTTGTTGCATTTCAGATTTACTCGATTTATTTCCATACATATTGCAAACTCTTTATTATTAATTGTGAGATTTTCATCTCAATAATTTCATTTTTATTTACCTACCAGTTATTGAATTGGATGGTTCCTTTAAAAAAAAAAAAAAAACCCTGGTACTTTAGACTTTCAAGATGTTTTGCTTATACAAATGTAACAGGACTTTTTGACCTATATTCATATATTTCTTTTTTTTTCTTTGAGGTTATATAAGGTCATCTCCATCCAGGATTAAATTTTGGGGGCTTCAGTCTGACAGCTTTTTTTTTTCATTTATATAACGATAATTACTTTGAAAAAAAAAGAAAGAAACTAACTACATATACGAAATGGTGTTTAAGTGATTCTTTAAGCTCTATTAAATGTATTTACAAAAGCAATAATACCTTAAGGCATATTTTTTAAATATTTTTTTCCTGAAAACATGGTTACATTTTAGCATTTTGGGGGAGCTTCATCCCGAATCCTCTTTCCCCCCTACAGATCCGCCTGTGATGTCCATGTCTAGAAACATTGTATTCCTGTTATGCAAGGCGTGCATTCGTATTTACTAAGGCAATATTTGTTTTTGTATTTACTAGCTTGTTTTTCTCTGCCTACCATTATCAGACAAGTCTCTAATTATTAGTACATAGTAAATTTTACATCAGTGATATGACATAAAATCACTCAACTCATAAACTTGATATTTTAAAATAAATATTGAATTAGGTAAATAATATAAAAAATATTAATTTGTTGAAAAATGATAATATAAATTTAATGTGCAATTGAATAAGATAAAAAAATACAAAAACAGAATGAAATAAAACATATATATTATACTTCAAATTAATATTGCGCAAGGATATAATACATGGTATAAAAAACAAGTATTTAATGGACAGACTTTGGGTCATTTTGGGAGGAAATTTATGTAAATTTGACTGTGCTGTAAGCTTTTAATCTCTCTGAATTTAATTCCAAAAATAATAATTTCATAATATTTTCATGCTTTTTGGTTACTAGAAGATTTTTTTTCTATAAAAATTTAAAATGGCTCATGATTTATGATCACCCTCTCTCTTATTTGTTCCTTTGACTTCTTTCGAGTAATTTGAATATTGTTTTTAAATATTGGTTAGTAAATTTATTAATCCATATCTGTATGGGCTCTAATCACCTATTTTCCGGACATGAATATTAAATTTAAGTTCAGTCAAACCTGTTGAGTATTTCGCTAATTAACCTAACGCTAACAATGGTTGATACTCACTTCCTTTTCGTTATCTTAAATTTATTCAGGAAATGATGCGATTTCCGATTGCTGAAATAATGGCGGAGAAGATCTATAGAATCAAACGGTTATCGGTTATTCTTCGAAATCAGGGAAATCTGATGATTATATCATCGATTGAAGTAAAACTTAAAAAAAAAAAAAACGCTCATAGTTCATTATTTCCAAATAATTATTCATCAAAAGTAACATTATTTCCTTATAACATAAAAATAAATAAAAGGTGATTCCTAATATTGCCCTAATTTTTTTTATTTTATTTTGATCCCTATTAATTCGCTAAGAAAAATAGACAACACTGCTTCAGTTGATGTAACACTTTCGAAAACCAAAACATACGATATAACTTTTGCAGTAGAACATGTAAAAAATATTTAGAAAGCCAAATTTTTGCACCAATTGTCCGATTTCAAATTTTGTTTTTTGAAATTTTGGTTAATTTTTAGAAAACCATATACATTAACAAAAAAGTGTATACTTTTTGAATTATTTGGAAATCTAATTTTACCATCCCTAGTAGCTTTTTTTACAATTTCTTTTTGGTGAAGTGTGTTTTATACATATATTTCAAAAGCATATATACAAGTTTCATTGAAATCGGTATATTCGTTCAGGCGCTACAGTTGATAGAAACATATATTTTTCGGCCGCCATATTGACTTTTAACTTTGATTGGAAATCTAAATAAAATCTTTCCAGTAATTTCGGAGAAAAGCTACAGATGGCAGACAGACAAAAAACAAAAATATATAAGGGGCCGGCGTGGCCGAATGGGTAATGCGTGTGCACAGCACCGCGAGTTGCCCGGCAACTAGATAACCGAAGTTAAGAGATTAAAAAAAAGTTTGAGTTCGTATTCCGGTGCCGGAGGGGGTTTTAAATTCCCCGCCCTTACCCTACGGCCCGAGAAAATCCTGTAAAGCCTAAAAGGCGAGATAAGGAAGCACAATAAAAAAAAAAAGTTTATATTTGATTTTCAAGTTTTAAATATGAAATGTAAAATCTCAAATTTTAAGGGAGAGAGGTTATAACTGTTTCAAAAAATTTTTAACTATAAGCACAACGGTTCATCATTGAAAATAATAAACCAAAATTGTTTGCGTGAAAATGTTTGTAACTTCTCCAGGAAACTTTTCCACTATACCAAGATTTGGTTTTGTAGAAATTAGCAGGTCATTTATTAAAAATAAAAATGCTCAATGTGGAAAATGAACAGAGAAAACAAGTCGGGTTGGGTTACGCTAAGTGGGAAGTTGTTAAACATTTTCAACTCTTAAAAAATAAATATTATTTCAATTGAGCGGGATTTATACTTGACGTTGAGGGATGAAGATTTATTCGTGTGGACAAATCAATAAAAGATAAGATCTTTAGGGAAACCAAGATTAAATTTTTTAAATAATAAATTTAACATTTCTGTTGAAAGCTAATCAAGTACTTAAATATTAATAAAGGCTAATCAAGAAATATCTTGTTCGATGAAATGGGAAAGGAAATTAAAGCATTCAGTTTTTTTACTAAAAAAGTGATCACTTGAGGGAGGATTTGTAATTATACATTAAAGCAAGTTTGCTTATTCATAGTGTTGCCCAAATGCGAGACCAAGACGAGTCTTGGTCTTGCGCACGCAGTCTTGGTCTTGGTCTTGCCCAAGAATCTCGCAACAGTCTTGTGGTTACCTATAGGTTATTACTATAGAGATATTACTATAATCTTTCAGACAGGGGAAATCTAACTAAGCCAAATGAAAAATTGAAAGACTTAAATGCAAAAGTATATTGGTTATACCAATTCTTTACGCATAGAAACTAAAATGGTCAAATATTAGTAACTATTTTGCCTTAATTTGTGTTCTCAAAAACGATTTTTTTGATCATTCTTGGTCTTGGACCAAGACCGATTTTGGGCAACATTAGTTATTCATGATTGGGATCAAACATTATTTTTTAAAAATCGCTTATTGTTGATAGTCGTAATTAATCGCTTATTGTTTTATCATAAGAAAGTGAAATAATTTATTCCAAAATAAATTATTACTAATTATTAATTTCATCTTTATAGCCAACAAATAACTGTCGAAAATATTTTTATGATAAGTATATGTTTGAATCGTGAAGATCATAAATACGTAATTAATATTTTTAAAAGGAAATTTATTATTGTAAAATTATTAACTTAATAGCTGGCATTTTTAAAAATAATAACAAGCAGTATTTTCAGTTTCATATCCATGAGTTTATTGAAACGTTTATCTTACCGGTATTTTTACAATTCTGAAATATTTATTAATTTAAATTCTCTGGCAATAACAGCTACAATTTTTTTTTTTCATTTATTATTTATTTATTTATTTATTTTATCCTACTTAATAACGTATAATTATATAATATTATTGTTATTATTATTTACAGGGTAGGACCCCTCGGCCCATAATCACAGAATATGACCCAAAGAAAAGGACAGCGCGAACTGAGTTGGGTGACTTAGTCCTAGTAAAGTAAGTATTATTACATTTCTAATTATTTGTATTAAATGTGTGTATTTTTTGTGACGAAAATTGAAGGCGATTTGTTCATTGATCCCTCCACCCCAAAAAAAATTAATAAAAAAAAGTTCTATTATAACTCGATTTTCTAATAATTGGTCCAGATTAGAAATGGGCGGTCACATATGTTTTGGTTCACGAAATGTGGGTGAGCATGTGGAATAAAGTGATAAGATAATGCAAGCTCACTTCTCACTGAGCGGTGAATCGTGCATAAGAGCAAGTTAGACCATCAAGAGAGTTAGTACGGTAAGTAGAAAGAGTTATCCTGCGAGTTCAAAACCACACCCCTAAAGAAAAGAAGTAGTTTGTACCAATGTGTTTTCAACCAGAGGGTTATAAAAAATATTAATATTTTTTTGGATTTTGTAAGTTTGTAAGCAGATTGCCCCAAATTAATTATATTTAATTCCATTCTCAATAGATTCCATCGTATCATAATTGGGGATGAGTTCGAAATTATTAAAAACCTCCGTTACAGTTGAGCTGATGTATGTTCAGCAATTTTCATGTAATTTCAGCTTAATTAACATCTATTTCAGAAGTAAACAGTTAGAATCTGCCCAATGTTGCTGGAAATATAAAGAATAGTGTACCAATTACTGACGGATCCACAGGGAGGGGATGGGACCTTTGAGCTGAAGCCACCCCAAAATAGAAAAAAAAATTGTTTTTTGTTGGTCCCTAATGGCTTATGTAATTGATCTAAGCGTAATACTTAAATGAGAAGAAGTTGATCCGGGGAGAGGAGGGGGGTTAAAATAAATACTTTTTTTTTATTATTATCTTAATGGAATTTACAACTGTATTACATAGAAAATACAATAAGTAAATGTGAAATTGGTAACATGACATGTACAACATGAAGAGAAACTACCCATTGGTAGAACTCAAATTAAAGTTCTATATCAGAAGATCCCGAGGCCATCTTCTTTTCAGACGCCTCGGAGGGTTATCAGGGATCGAGGAGGAAGCTAGGTTTGAAACGAGGGGATTCGGAAGGTTCTGCAGTTTGTTATGGAAGGACAGGTATCTGGATTGGGCCAAATCGGAAACATATGGAACATTAAGGTCTTTATTGATGATTTTATTTGTGACAAAGTAAGGAGCGTTGAGGATTTTACGAAGGATTTTGGATTGTAAGGATTGGATACGAGAGGAATTCGATGGTTTAGTGGAGCCCCAAAGCTCAATTCCGTAAGTCCAAATGGCTCTTATTATTGTCATATATACGAGTCGTTTATAATTGATTGAAAGCTTAGATCGTTTGTCTAGTAAGTGCTGCAGTAGTCGAAAACGTTGGGCGGTTTCTAGTCGTTTCAGTCTGGTATGGGATGGATCGGATCTGTATCGGATTTGTTCGACAGGGATAAGAGGGCTATTGTTGAAGGATACTGTAGGACAGGAAGTCATAGGTTTACGACGAAGAGTGAAGGTTATTTGATGGGATTTATTGGAATTTATTTTAATCCTCCAGTTTTGACACCATTTTTCAAGGCTTGTGATGTGTGATGAAGAGTTTGGGATGCAATAGATGGATCGTTATTACTGATAGGAATCACGTGTCATCGGCAGAGGTGGTGATGACAGTGTTGAATCCAGGGTTGGGATGTCTGCTGTATAAACTGTGTAAAGGATAGGACCTAGGATACAACATTGAGGAACACCGGCAGAAAAAAATAAATAAATACTAAGTTATAGAAATAGTATTATTTAATTATTATGCCGACGTTTCGACCCACCTTGCAGGTCTTCATCAGTGCTACGAAAGATACAAAATTAAAAAAAAAAAGGTACATGGTGAAATTAAAATAAATGAATTATAAAGTAGATATTAAATAAGAAAAAGTTGTCTGATAAAGAAATAATAAAATGATATCAGAGATATAGTGAGTGACAATGTAGTTAGAATATCAAGTGTTATATATGTATAGAAGATCCAAACAAAAATAGAAAATAAGTATGAATAAAAATATAAAACAAAGGAGAATATAGTATGCAAGTAAAAAGTAAACAGATTGTGATAAAATATTTTAAATATTTAATTTAATTATGTGATAAAATATTATATCACAATCTATTTACTTTTAACTTACATACTATATTCTCTTTTGTTTTCTATTTTTATTCATACTTATTTTCTATTTTTGTATGTATCTTCTATATATATAATACTTGATATTTTAACTACATTGTCACCCACTATATCTCTGATATCATCACATTATTATTTGTTTATCAGAAAACTTTGTCTTATTTAATGCTTACTTATTATTCATTTGTTTTATTTTCATCATGTACCTTTTATATTTTGTAACCCTGATGAAGACCTGCAAGGTGGGTCGAAAGGTCGGCATAATAATTAAATCATACTATTTCTATAATTTAGGATTTATTTGACAGCACCCCATCCCCCTCCCATCCGCCGATCAACTCCTCATATTATATCACGATCAACCATCTCTACATCAATAGTAATACTTAAATCATCACAATATCTTTTCTTTTTAAATTATAAATCATGTATACATGCTAAATATATGAACTTGTCAAGTAACAATTATTGCTGAGACATTATTGTTTTAGCTTTTTCAATTTTTTATATTTTTGATCTTGAAGAAACATCTCTTCAACATAGGAGTTGTTGTAGGAATCCAACAACAACAAGGAGCTAGGCTAAAAATAGAGAGGGGTAAGACAGCAGTCAGGTGTTTAGCCAGAGAAAGAGCTGGAGCAATAGACTAGATAGAGGAACAAAGGAAATAGGGGAAAAAATAGTGTTAAAGATATCCTTCGAGAAAACATAACTAATAGCCAATAACCAAGAAATTGAAAATAAAATTAGAACTAAATTCGGTATAGAACATAGAACGGTTTTAGACCATGTAATGTTGTATAGAATGGAGACAATGAGATTTACCAAAAATCTACTAAAAACAGAGAAAAATATACTAAGATGTATCCCTGGACCAAGAAAGATAGAAGATGAGTACTGGCCTAAAAATAATCAAGAATTGTATTAAGATGTCGAAGATCTAGAAACACTAATGAATAAAAAGATATCGAAATCATTTAGCCACATGAAGAGAATGAGTAAAAATAAAATAAAGAAACAGATATTTGACAAAATAACGGAACTAAAGAACATCAATGGATACACTGACAGATTAAGGAAGAAATAGTAAGATAGGGGATGAAAGAAGACCTAGATAGGAATTAACTTAAATAACAAGAAGATTTAAAAAGTCCTTGGATTAGAAAAGAGAAGAAATGAAGAAAGGAAATGAAAAGAATGGTGGAAAAAGGAAATGAGTGAAGAAATGAAGAAAGTTTAGGCATCAAATAAAGCCAAGAAATAATGACGTACGGGCGGCCCTTGGCTGGTCTTTATCTTGAAAAATAAATAAATGAATTTGTGAAATCTCGGAGATATTATTCCCACACTAATCCTTCAGGGTAATAGTTTACACGTTTTATGTACTTAACTAAAACACTCTGATATATCGTTTTACAACTTTATTTATTTATTTTACGGATACGATTTTTTTCAGACGTTATCACTCTGAACTGTAAATTGTGAGCACAGAAATCCTTATTATTCGTAATTATAGGTACTTTCTCCTAGGACAGGATCACCCAAATTCTTTATAATGCGTGTTACAATGAAGCCTTCCCCATATTGAGGTGGTGCAACAATTCTACAATCTTCCTATCTCCCTACCTTGCCACCTTTACAATAATTATTTATAAATAGTATTGAGGCATTGTTTGTTTCAAGTACGTTTTTTCTGTTGCATATTTTCGCAATATAACTACATAATGAATACAGTTAATTAAATAAGAGAAATTAATTTCCATTTTTATGAAATAATAAAAAAATCAACTGGCCATCCACGTTTCAGTTCCGTGTAATATACGTATGCCTTAGGTTGTTGTAGCAGTTAGTTAATTCTTTTGTTAGTTTTGTAGTCATAGCTTAAATTTAAAGAAATTTTTATTACCATTAATGCTCCTATACAATGCTGTGCTCCGATCTACATATTTCCCTGATTCTTGGAAACTATCTATTGTCAAAATGTTACACAAACCTAAAAAACCACCCGAACACCCATCCTCTTACCGTCCTATTTCTCTATTACCTATCATGGGCAAAATCCTAGAAAAACTCATCCTAAAACGCCTGTATCCCATCCTAGACTCTAATCATATTATTCCTGAACACCAATTTGGATTCCGCACATCGCATTCCACTATCCAACAATGCCACCGTGTGGTTGATGTAGTCTCCTGTGCATTGGAGCGCGGTATGTACTGCACGGGAGTCTTTCTTTACGTTGAACAGGCGTTTGATCGAGTCTGGCACCCGGGTCTTCTGTACAAACTCCGAAAAGTCCTACCCTCTACATACTTCCTCATTATCCGCTCCTATCTTACTGATAGATACTTTAAAGTAAACCAAAATAATGTCTTCTCATCCCTCTTTGCTCAATCTGCAGGCGTTCCACAAGGTAGTATCCTCGGTCCCATCCTCTACACAGTTTATACAGCTAACATCCCAACCCATCCTGACACTGTCATCACCACTTACGCCGATGACACATATTTGCTATCTGTTAATAACGATCCTTTAATTGCATCCCAAACTCTTCAATCACATATCACAAGCCTTGAAGAAATTGGTGTAAAAATTGGAGAATAAAAATAAATTCCAACAAATCCCATCAAATCACCTTTACCCTCCGTCGTAAACCTATGACTTCTTGTCCTACAGTATCCTTCAATAATACTCCACTTATTCCTGTTGAGCGAATCCGCTATTTAGGACTCCACTTGGATAAACGTCTTACTTGGAATCCTCATACTAGACTGAAACGACAAGAAACTGCTCGACGTTTCGGACTGCTCCAACACTTACTAGACAAACACTCCAAACTTTCAATTAATTACAAAAG